CGTTGCTGTCTTCAACCGCATGAAGGAATGTCCATTAAGAGGGGAACTGCTCGAGGCGCTCGCTATCAAGCGCTTATCCCCCGAAATAAACAACAGGGACGAGCTAATGGAGGCACTACGACTAATTGCTTAGCAGTTGTGATAAGAAGTGATAAGAATGTCCTCTCAACTGTCACGCCCGTCGCATTGCTGAGTACTTTCAGTTGTATTGGATGTGCCGCTAGGGTAGGTCGTTTGCGTGTAGTAGTGTGGTTGACAGTTATAGGCCTCTAGTAAATTGTATTGCAGACCTGAGCAACTTTATTGTTAAGAAGGGAGTCTGGTTAGTACTCTGGACAACTTAATTGTTGTAAGGTTTATAGTATTGTATGCTCGTTTTATTGTAGGTCTGAAGAAGCTGCTACGCAGCGAAAGCTCACCAATAAAAGTTATATTGAGTTCTCATCAACCATTGTTGAAGAAAAAGCGTTATTCAGATACATTGAAACCAGTCGGATCGCCCGGCTGACGCCGAGCTCTCCTCCTTCTCTTTAGCTCGGCTTCGCCGAGCTGGCCTGGCTTCGCCAGGCGCGCTCTATAATGAGAAACGGAACTCTTTCAATCACTGGGCTGCTCATACGGCGCTGTAGTGGTCGAATAATAACAGATACAGCAACCCTGCGGATCATGCACTCCTTAGCAAACGCTTATACTTGCGGTCCGCGCCATAACGCCCATCCTACTGTATATAATTCGCTAAGTATGTCTGTGTGTGTGTCCGTGTCCGTGCGTCTGTGTGTCACGAAATTCATAACGCCGGTCACAGCAGCAGGGAGACTTTGGTTTCAAGATATGATATAGGGCATGGGAGGGGAAGATTATTGGTGGGTGATAGGAAGTGATATCTACTGATAAGATCTGATACGGGGCGTCAGAAGGGGACGGTCACCATATTCATAACACGGGTGACAGCATTAGTTGGCTGTTGATTCTCAGATATGATATAGGGTATGGAAGGGGAAGATTATTGGTGGGTGATAGGAAGTGATATCTACTGATAAGATTCGATAAGGGTCGTTAGAAGGGGATCGCCACCACATTCATAACGCTGATGAAAGCATCAGCTGTTATTGTTTGATAACTGCTGTTTAACGCCGCAGTGCGCGATACGAAAGTTATCACAAGAATGCTGAGTTGTGGGCAAAAGTCGGACCACGGGCGGGATTCGAACCCGCATCTTCTGCTGCGGCGTAAAACAGCAGTTATCAAACAATAACAGCTTAAAACTTGTAAAAAGCCTTCAGCCTTGCGGTTC